AAAATTTCGTCATTCATCCCTTTCCCAGTTGAACTGGATATGGAGCCTTTCATGTCGTCTAGGTAAGTAAAATAGTCCTGAAAGTCCTTGAATGTCCTTGAATTTGTAAGGGAGTAGCTGCTACTTTTCTTGCTTTAGTTTTTGGATATTTGGCATTCAAAACGGACATTTTGTTGAATTGATTTTGCATGTTCATATCTGACAAAGCTGTTTGAAACTCATTAAAGTTTCATTTTGAAAAATTCAACGTCAGATTTTACTGATTTCTGACCCCTTGTCATCAGTATTTAGTCCTTGAATTTTCTGATACATGGCCTTGAATGTCCTTGAAAAAGTCCTTGAATTAGACTCTTTCACATGTACGAACCTTGTGCAAAATTATATATCCCACTTGACCATAGATTAAGTAAGGACAGATGTGTAACTTCAGTAAAAAAGTTGTCCCATAATCGTCATCTTCCTAGCAAGCATAGAATATATAATAGACCAGAAGTCTCACTGTACACCTTTCCTTAACATTTTCGTGTCCACGATTTTCGCCTTGCGGATCACGAATTGCGCACGCTAGATGACGTCTGTGACACTTGCTGCGAACATCACGTCAGCGTTCGTCAGCGTCAATTCCTCAAATCAACGGTTTTTCTTGAAATTCGAAAAACATGCTCAAAGTGTACGCTGCATATTCTGCAATTATTGTGCAAATATTTTACGCTTTTGTTTTTTACGTTGTGTCTTCCTGTTGCGATGACCCATTACTTGGACCAGTGGCATTTAAAAACGGTTAAAACAGCAATCTGTATTACCTAGTGATGGCAATTGATGGCGTTGCTCGCGTTTGATGGCGTTGTGATTACACTTGCTGGCTCGCGCTTGCGCATAAAAAATCTCGGACACAATGTTGGCTGAGTGAGGCTTCTGGTCTATTTTCTATTCTGTGTAGCAAGTGTCGCTCGCGTGATTGTTCGTCATCTGGTAATACGTCATTGCTTTCAAAAATGCTTTCAACACCTTTTCTACAAATTTAAATGCTTTCAACAACTTTAAACATTCAACAAATATGCTCTTGATTGTTTAATCCATATGTTTCGATCCAAGAAGGCAGCAATAAAGTGCAAAGTAAAAATTCGAGTTCAAATCCCGCTCGAGCCAACGATTTTTCGTTGGTCAATTGACCATTTGCGTAATAGACTAAATTTTGAACTAAACAAGTCTAGACAAACGGGAAATTGACAGCCCCAAACCCTTCGAGGCTGTCAATTTCCTGTCTGTAATCTAAAATGACTGAAAATTGCAAATTTCGCAAGCCTATATTTTCCGCATTTTACAACATTTTGCAACGAAACTTTGGAATATTACTAATTTTGTAATGCTCTTTCAAGCTGTAATGAAATTTTTGTTGAGATCAAAATTTAGTCTATTACGCAAATGGTCAATTGCAGTGTCAGAATAATATGAAACTGGTTTTTCGTATCTCTGAGGATGGTTCTAAAATGACGTGTACATCGAAGGAAATTTGAGGACACGAAGTCCTATTAAGTTACACATCTGGTATATACTGTACTTAATCTGTGACTTGACTAAGATCCCACCTATATGCGCTTTTACAAAGAGCATGCAGATGTCACTTGGGTGAGTTTCGCGGTTAGCTATTACTATATGTACAGTGATATTTTTTGTTTTAATTTTAGCGAACAAATTGAAAATGTAAATATACAAACCCCAAGTTCTTCCTGTCCGGTGAATGATTATAGGTATGTTTTATAGTTGCTATAAGTTAATTTTATTCAAATATATATTTTATGATAAGAAGAGGATTGCATAAATTAGGGGAACTTGAAAGAAATGTTTCTGTACTTTATATTCTCTATATGCATGATCGTTGCTAACCTGAGCAATTTCTAATATTTTTCCCAGATATTCGTTATTTGCTGTCGTCAACCACAGTGGCACACTCGAAGTTGGTCACTACACTTGCTTTGTCAGACAGAAAAAGGACCAGGTAATGAAAGTCTATTCTTCTAAGTTTTATCATGTATAGTTGAAGAAACTGAATACCAGTGCTGGAAAATATCCGGCAGCACCACTGCCAGGACGTTTTAACAAAATATCTTTGCAGGAAATTTTCTTACATCTTGCAGGAAATTCCTGTCATCTTGTATACTAGAATGCCATATTATTTACCGAGGTTGTTCACCACATATCCACAATTGTTTTCACAATGTGCGGCACCATATACGTTCTCCGAAATTATTATTTTTGGATTTTGCTGCCAGGAAGAAAAAAATTTAATGTATTTTCTTGGGTTGCTGAATATTTATAGCAAAGCAGCTGACGATAGCAAACCAACTTATTTGAAATTCATGATTTCACAAATAATTAACAATTATTCGCCGAAGGTAAGGTAGCCTGCGGGCAGCCAAGGTGATTATCGGTGAATAAAAACCGAGACGAAGTCGAGGTTTTTATTCGCAAATATCACCCAGCATGAGGTGAATAATTGTTTTAGTATAATTTCATAGGTGGTTATATGGAAAAAAATAAAAAATACCATTTCTTTGTCATTTAATTAACAAAACGGCTTCGGCCGCCATTTCGAAAATCACTTAGGTGATTATCGCGTTATAATCACCTCAACGGCAACCAATCACCGTGGAGAATTTTCAATAATCACCTTCCAAATATAGTAAAGTTCCAAATATAGTAAAGTTTAAAGCAGCTATATTGAGATTTAAAGTGGTTTCATTGCCTTACAAACGTGCCTTTTCCACGACAAAGTATTCAATATATTTTTGTCGTCGTTTTTTTTATTTTTTACTTTAATTTAATTTACATAAAAAAGGGAATCAATATTAAAGATACACTGACATTTAATATATGCTGTCTTGTTTAGTTGTTTCATATACGCAAAGGCCGTCGGGTTTTAAATCCATTATAAAATTAATATTTAAAACAAACTTACCTTCGTTATTCGTTAACATCGGCTCCCTTCTTTTAGCCGATTCTTTCGCAGTTTCTTTCTCAGAGAGCTTTTGAAATTTACAAAATCTTGCAAAAATGCGAGCAAAAATGGAATATATTTGCAAGAAATTTATCAATCATCAAATCAACTCAAGAAATGTTTGCTATTTCGCAGTCGTTATAATGCAAACTTTAAATTGGACCAATCAGTGTCCGCTATTCGTGACAGTCCGCCATATTTTTGAGATCAGTGAGGATGACCACCCACCCAACACCGTTGGTCACCCACGCCCGCGATATTTGATGAACTTTAGACTCCGCTAATGCTTTCGTTTCCCCGGGTGTAAATAGCCGGGGGGAATTAGTACCCTTCGCAAGGCTATATTTTCTGCATTTTACAACATTTCGTAACCAAATTTGAAATTTTACTGATTTTAGTAAGTTCTTTACGAAAATATACTTTTTTCCCCCTAAATAAAAAATTAGTCTATTCATGCAAGTTGTCTATTGAAATGTGCTTGGGTTGGGGTGCACCGGATGCAGCTTTTTGCTATTCCGCCGGATGCCAGAGATGCCAGGTTTTCGAAAATATCGCATACCGGATACCGGTTATTTTATGTATAAGGTTTAGGATTTCATTTAAGGTAAAATAATGATTTTAATTGGTTATAAAGTGATGATGTTTAAAATATATTTTGATTTGAAATATAGAAAGAACTTCACAGTCTAATATCGATCAACTTTGACAATACTGCAATTGCTAGCTTCTCTCCGATCATTTCAAATAAAAATATGATAAACATCCATGCATTCTTTTAGCAATATCGAATTATTTTAAACCTGCAAAACAAGGCCTTCTATAAACAATATCCGGTATCTGACCTGATATTAGAAGTATCAAGTCGAATGTCCCTAAAAACGACTAACATACGTGATCATGAGTTTCCTATCCAGATTTCGTATTGTCCATGTATTATCATATATCTATATAGGGCCGCGGTTGTACAAAAAGGTAGCTATAGTTAAAGTTAACTACTGGGAAAAATAGTGAAATTCAGACTGTGGAATTTCCGATTGTATCGCTTATAAATATCCGTAGTATGTCCATACAATATCCATAGTATCATTGAAATTGTAATTAGTATGCAAATTGGATTTCAAAGTGGATTTCACACTATTTCCATAGTAAGGATTTTGAAAGAAATTTCCAATGTTAGTGCGAACGATGACCAATCAGAAGGGCGTATTTGAGAGTTAACTACTATATATTTAACTACAAAACGGGTCGTTAAAAAGTAGTTAAGCCTTTGCACTCTCTTTAGTGGTTCAAATGTGACGATGCGTGGATAACGAAAGCGACGGTTGAGGAGGTACTTATGAGTGAAGGGTAAGAATATTTTTACTCTAATTTTGTTTTTCTGGGAAGAATTTTCATGCGTCAAGTTTGTAAAATGCACAAACAGAATTTTTAATTAATTAATAACATTAATTTCATATTATCGAATATCGAATCATTGTCTTATCCACAAAATGGTCAAGCCGGTTTTTGATTGCACAATTATCATTAGAAAAATTATCTTTAAAGATATTACAATTTTCCTTTTTAAACAATCACCCACTTGGATATATTACTTTGATATACTATTTTTAAGTTAAAAATTATCATATCTATATACATATACATATATCAGTAAAATTGGTCATTTCTTATTCTATAGGTACTTGTTATTTTATCACAAGCAGGTCTTGGAATACGAGTATTAATTTATACATGTGACATTAATTAATTGCGACAAAATTACACAAAACACATCCTACTTGCAACTTGCAGTCTTTCGAAGGCTGTCCACGCGTGCGTATAAGATACGCATAGAGTATAGACTTTGTATGCCAATTGCCCAATTCAGATCGTGTGATGCTTCAGAGGATTTTTTGTATATGTTGCGTAACACGCGCTCAAATACTAAAATGACGTGTGACGTTTAGCTTGGTTAGGTTGTATTGCTGTAAATATGGTGTCAATAGGCAATTCCAGCTTTTAGTTTATGCGTGCAGGGGATGATGGGAAGTAAGGTATCGTATTGCTGATTATGCTGAAAAAATAAAAATGGTGGCTGTGTAAACACGGAGTGATAGCTTATACTAATACGGAAATATTTGGGTTGTTTCGGCAGTTTTTATTGAAATTTTTCAGCATAATCAGCAATATGATACCTTACTTCCCATCATCCCCTGCACGCATTACCTATTTAATCCTTGATTTTAATGCATCATTGATGATTTATTTTATTCGACATTTTTTACTACAACTTTGTGTTTCGCAACCGCCAGATGCATTCAAAGAATTAACTAATTGTATATATCAAATAGAAAATGAAACTGAAACAAATTTTAAGAAGGAATGTGAGAATGAGAGTTTTACGTTTTGAACCGGCTTTTTTTCGCGAATGCCCGACACAGAAAATAATTGCCTCTTTAATTTAGTTTTTTTATTACTCTTTGTCATGAGTTATTTTTCATTCATATTCAAATATAAAATACATAAACACGTAGAGTAACGAAAGATGTAACTAAAGTGTGTATAAAAAATGCGCAGTTTGAAAATGTTCGCTAAACTTGGCAAATTCCGCAAAATTTGTGAAAACATTTTGCATGCAAGAGCAGTTTAGGGTCTGCTAGTATCTTTTCCAATGAAATTATTTTGAAAAGTAAATTTTCGTGTGCAGCAGGGTTGTTTTTAAAAAACACTTTAAAAATGGCTTGCGCACAAAAATGAAAAGCTTAAAACGCAATTTCAAATCAAAGAGTAACAATTTAGAAGGTGCCTTATGAACTATCAAAGTACCAGATAATTTGATGTACATTAAGTCCAAGTCGAGACCTCCAAAACGTGGACCTTTTTTGCCATAGTAGTCTTTCACTCATGATTGATATATCACACGCATGCATGATTGATTTTATGCATGATTGATTTTATGCATGATTGATTTTATGCATGATTGATTTTATGCATGGTTGATTTTATGCATGGTTGATTTCTTGCAAACTCTTTACAAAAAGTTTATGCGTGAAAGGCTACTATATCGCGAAAAAGTCCAGCTTATAGAGAGATCACGCGTTAAACTTTGTAAAACACTTTCTAAATTTGCACCTCGTGAATTCAAATTGCGTTTTAAGCATTACATTTTTGTCCGCAACTGGCAAGACCTCTTCTCCAATTTTCATCCAAATTTAACTAAAATTTAATCAATATACCCTTGGGCGATGTCTATTATTGCCACAAATGTTCGTATTAATACACACACACACACACACACGCAGACACAAAAACAAAAACGCAATTAAAACATAACCTCCTGGTGGAGGAAATAATCACATGATCTGAAATGGGAATCTCCATACAATGCGAAGAAAGTCTATTTGAATTATAACATTATGAGTGAACTGTTCTAATTACAACGAACTTATTCACTATAACGAACTATAGATAGGAAATATTCAAGATTTATTTGTAAATACGTTTATAAATCGACACGCAAATCAATTCACACCATTCAATACTTTCACAAATAATTGATTATTTAACGTTGAATGTCATAATGAGTGAGATAATTTAATACATTTTTATACATCTGTGTGCTAAATTGTTTACAATATTAATAATTGATGAAGACAATCCAAAAGATGTTAATGCTATTCCTCTCCCAGAACACATCCTAAATATTTAACCTCCCCCTCTTTTTTACAACGACAAATCACAGCCCCGCCCTTTTTTTCGCCCCCCCCCCCCCCCCAACCATGAATAATTAACCTTCCCTAAACGGCCAAGCTGTATTTAGAAAAGATTGGGAAGCCGTGATTTCTAGAGACGATGTTATTGTATTGTACTTCCGAGGATATTTTATGATTGCCAAGTAATCGATATTAGCAACCGCATAATTGTCCAATGGTCCTTGAATGACTCGAATGTAAATTTCTAACCTGCAAACGGGCATACTCGGTTTGGCCTGCGGATGAGGTCGCAACGTATTATGGATATTTAATCGTAAGAATTGTGTCGTAACAGAAAGTGCCCGTTATACAAATTTTACTTCAACTTCAAAAAATCATTTAATTAATTCATTAAATAAAACAGTTCTATAAGGACAAGTCATGATATACAATATAATACATATATAATTCTAGCGTTTTAAGCAACCAGAAAGCGATATCAAGCTTTTCTTGGTGATGACTCTGTTGTTTTCTCCACAATTCCAAACGATTTATAAAGTCTGTTCTGTCTTGTCCCCTGTATTCTGGTTAAGTCTTTTCCGTATTGTAAATCACGTTTTAATGTTTTATGTTGTTCTTCAAGCTGCTGTCGTTTCTCGTGAAGGGCGCGAGTTCTTCTAATCAATGCCAGTAGTTCTTTTCTTAATTTCTGATTTTCTTCTTTCACTTTTTGTGTCTGACTTATCATCGATTGTTTTGCCTCCTGTTTGGGAAAAAGAACCAGTTTCATTATGATAGGGGCCATTGCCCCCCCCCCCCGAGAGGACATCTGGAATTTCCAACCCCCTCCCCCCCCATAAAAGAGCCAAAATGAAGGATTTCCATAGGAGGGTCTAAATTTTAAGGCAAATTTGCAAAAATTCTATGCAGAGTATATCAATAATGAAAAAGAAATTGCAAATTGGTAGGATAAAAATCTGCAAGGAATTAGGCCTACACTATGGGTGTATTACTCGCCTGATTAGCTTGTTTTGCCATGGCTTGGATCCTGGTGTCAGATTGATCTTGAAACTGCTTCTTTTCGTGTAAGAACTGTGCTTTGAGTTTCTGAATGGTTTCGGAATGTTTCGCACGCATCTGTTGAACTTCTTCTTCCAGAGATTTGATTTCAGCTTCTTGATCGTATTGTAAACGCTAAAAATGGTACAATCATTAGAATGTTCGCGTATGCGTTAGATATTTTTTAGCCGTTGTCGCATTAGAAGACGGACAAGTCATCTAGACGAACAAATCGTCTTAAAATCGTCTTTTAGTGGGACAAATCATCAGATGTGAAAACGTGTCGGACAAAATTTTAGACGAACAAGTCCTCTGAATTTGTTCGACTACTTTTCCGTCTGTGAAGACCATTTTTGAGGGACGATTTGTTCGTCTAGACGACTTGTCCGTCTCTAATGTGAATAGGGCCACTAATGTCGATAAAATTTTTACACAGCAACAAAATTCAGGCATTTAGCTGTCCAATAATACCTTTTTGTATCGGTATAAAGGAAAATGCTCGGAATAACACAAAAAAGTGTCATTCAAAAGCTCAAACCTTACTCTTTATTAATAAAGATTAAATCTGTGCAATCAATAATGAGCGCACAAGAGTATATTACCATTTTTATACACCCTGCATGTATATTAAAAATGGCCAATGTTGAATAACCATTGGTTTGGTATTCTAAAGCCGAATTGACTTAAAAGGTTATTTCATTAAGATAACCGAATGATAATTTGCTCAACTGAACAGGCATCTGTAACTGTTAAGAATAAAAAGTAACGAGAGCTCATTGAATACACCGTTTTATTGATAGAATTAATAATTATAGAAATGCATCTGTACAAACGTGAATAAATGAGAACCCAACAGAAATTTGTATTTATTTTATTCTTAATTAATATATTTTTACAATGTCAGGGTGCATGTCTAAAAAAAAGAGACTTTAGAAATTCACCTTATTGTTGTAATTTGAATGTATACTAAACCCATGGGTGCGTAAACACAATTAGCCTTTCTCACGATGACGAATATCCGCCATTTTTGAGTGGCATCCAATTCTCGTTAACCATTTCAGACAATTAAAACAATGTGAAAAGCAATCTTTCAGAATTAAGTAACCATTTACAAAGCAAATTTACCATCATTTGTCAAAAAAATTATAAAAAGTCGCTGTTATGTGGACTTATCTCGCTCTGGGTGGCACTTCGGCTGAAATGCCACCCAAAAATGGCGGCGTGGGAAAGGCTAATTGAATCATGGAACGTAATTTAAACGTTTTTGGTTTCGTTCAACATATGATTATGTGCTGATTAATTTAACACAGCGCGTAAAACAGTAAAAACTCTCGTTGCTCTGTCGTCAGTTGAACCATTTTTACTGGAACTGATAGTATGACTAATTTGTAATTTGACTCTTTTTTGTGTAGTTATTCTCCGTTACTGCTCTCAGAAACTATTTTAAATTCCCAGAGCAGAATATCCTTGTGCTTAACAAGGATATTTTAATTTCTAAAGGTCTCACGCACACTTGCATTGTGGTTATAGTGGTATCACTGATATTCAAGATGGCTTATTTTTGTCCTGACCCGTGTAAGAACTTTTAAAAAAGCTAGGGTCAGGTGCACGCTAGCCAACAGCAAAATATTCGCGAAAACATTCAATATTTTCATTCGAGGCCGTTATCTTTATCAGTGATACCACTATAACCACAATGCAAAGCGCTACGAAAACGTAATAAGGGGAATCATCTATTACGTGCGACAAAAATCCTAGTGTGCGGGGAAATATTCAGGATTCTTGTCACTCGTGTCGTGAACAACAAATATCAAACAGGTTTGATATTTTCTGTCATTCGTGACAAAAATTCCTAGTGTGCGGCAAAAAGCTCATCCCAATTTTTCGCAGCAAAGAAGTGCGCATGTTGTTTTGGTGAATACCACAAATGCGCACTTATTTGCTGCGAAGAGTTGCGATGAGCTGTTTGACGCACACTAGGGATTCTTGTCACGAATGACAGAAAATATATTTCTTGTTCACGACACGAGTGACAAAAATCCTGAATATTTTCCCCGCACACTAGGATTTTTATCGCACGTAATTGGTAACTTGCACTAGTGTGCGCCGGGTTTTAAGGTTTCTTTTCTCCTTTGAGACACCCTGTATACAGCTAATTCAAAAAGGTCGTCCTTTGCAAACCTTAAACTCTAAACCTTAAAGGTGATCTACAGTCCGATCTGCGCATGTGCACAAATGAGCCCACTTTTTATGATACAAACAGTTTAACTATGTTTTGAGTTCTTGAAAAGCCTAATTGTTGTTTCTTGATCATTTATCATACTCTAGAAGCTTGAAAATATAAATAGTTGTCGAATAAAGCTCAATATTTTGGACACAAAAATGTAAACAAAGGCTTTGTTTACATACAGACTGTAGATCACCTTTAAACCTTAAACTCTAAGCGTGCAATGCATAATTGGAGCATCATTTAATAAGTTTAGAAATCACATATGGGACCCATTTTTTAGAGACATGGTAAATATCTCCTTACGAGAACAGTTCATTCTCAAATACCTGCAATATTCAAATACAAGCTTGAAACTTGTGCTCCCATTAAGCTTTGCGCGCTTAGAGTTTAAAGTGGAAGTCGGTTCTGCGCATCGGTTCTGCGCATCGGTTCTGCTCATAACAATGTGAGGTAAACATTGATGTAAACATTGCCCTCTGATGTAAACATTGCCCAAATTTCGAGCGTTTGGAATTTTTCTGAACATAAACTCTATTTCATATTCTTTTAGAAGCATAGCGAACCAAAATAGTGTTAGGGGCCGATTACATGGAGCATTTTCAACCTCGGGGTTGAACTCAGCCCTGTTTACCGGGTTGAAATTTCAGCCCTGTCTGTAATACAAACCTCTATCAAAATCAAACGCGCGATTACATGTCAACCTATTAATGACAACCCTGCTTCAGCTAGCAGGGTTGAAATTTCAACCCCAGGGTTGAACTCAGCCCTGGGTTGAAAATTTTGTCATGTAATCGTTTCAACCTAGGGCTGAAATTATCACGAGTTATTCGAGCATACGTGGTAGTGACTAGTTTATTACAAGAAAACAAAATAAAGGCTTTTTTACCTCCGGGAAGCGTTTCAACCCCGGGGTTGAAATCGTCCATTTAATCGCAAAACATTTCAACCCGGTTAACAGGGCTGAGTTCAACCCCGGAGTTGAAAGTTCTCCATGTTATCGGCCCCTTAGATATTCAGACAGTACATCGTATTTTAAAAAAAAATACAGCAGTTCAAAATGCAAACAAACCGTTTGTTTACATACGGACTTGACTTCTAAATTAAGGTTCAGAGTTTAAGGTTTGCAAAGGACAACCTTTTTTGAATTAGCTGCATACATGGGCGTACGACGAACTACCGACTATCTTTGAAATATTTGTATGCAAATACTCCATGTATATCGCCACAAATTATGTGCCTGGCTTTGTGTTCCAGACGTTTTATCTTTAAAGTTGATCAGTTCATTACAAAACTGCTCTCCTGCGTTCATGTAATCTAATCTTAATAGCTTTCCTCTGCATCCCTCCCAAAAAATCGATACATTTCATTATATGTTATTGGCGATTTCAGGTAACTTTTCAACACGCTGTTCCCAAGTTCGTTGCGAACTTGCCAATTACGTTGTCAAGTTCGGAAGTTGGGTGTGAACTTCGCAATGAAGTTCGCAAGTTTGATTGTAAACAAATGTTTATAGTTGGAGTTGAAACTACTCTATAAGGCCCTATATGCACATGCATATTACTGCAGTAAAATTTTGGTCCATTGGTCTCCCAAGACGAAACATGCCTTTTTAAATAAATTTATAAATGAAATTTTTACATTTGTTTACAATCGAAGTTCGAACTTTGAAATGAACTTGCTGAAATTTGGAAACGTAATTGGCAAGTTGACAACAAACTTGGGAACCGCGCTTTGAAAAATAATATGAAATCGACAATAATTGTTTCCAACAAAACGATAAAGTCGGAAGCAATCACAAAATTACTCGTTATAACAGTATCACTGCCATCACAATTCATTAAAATATTTTCCTCAAAGTTCATGAAATGGCATTTCATATACTGTAGATTTCCTCGCTACTATGGATAACTCGTCCGGATATCGTTCGTATCATTTATAACATAACATAAGCGGGGGGAGGGGGGTTAACGCGCGCAAATAAAGTGTAATCTCTTTTTTGCTTCCTTTCTCAACATCGTCCTAGTCCAAAAGAAGATCACTGAGTTGGCACTAGAGTTAAACATGGATATCGTGCACAACCAGACGTCCTTGGCTCCAAACTCCCTTTCGTCAGTGTTTTTATACGAGATAAACACCATTGGCGGCAGGAATGATAAAATGAAGAAGCACGTCACAACCATGAAACAGGATTTTGCTTGTTTGATTTCTCGCCGAAAAAGTTTCTTTCTTGTCAAATTCTCTTCTTCTACATTTGATAGTTGGTTCTGTGAACCATTCAACTTTCTAACGACCAAGTATATTCTTGTGCAAGCAAACGCAGTAAACAAAAATACAAGAGTTACCAACAACGTCCCAAATATCGTAATCGCAGACTGGATGCGAAAAGAAAGAACGATCACAAAAAATGTGACCACAGCACCGCAACCGACATACACCAAAATTCTCTTCTTTGTCACCACAGTTTTATAAGCATAGGGATGTAAGATGGCAATGTATCGTTCCACTGTCATAGCAAATAATGTAATAGTAGATACTCCAATTGGCAGGACTGGGAAATGTATCGCCAGTAATGCTCCAACGCAATTTGAGGTGCCTGTGATACCTTGAATAAGGAAGGCAAGAAATAGAGGTATGCCCAAAACGCCAACTACCAAGTCGATCACGGATTGAACAAGAATGATAAAATAACAAGGCTTGCTCTTCAGTTGAGAAGATTTTAAAATCGTTATTATTGCGATAGCGTTGAGTAGTATCGTAGGAGTTATCAAAATGCTGTTTAAAACAATTGCGAAAATACGATTGATTAACAATTTGTCGGACATAAGTTTCGTTATTACAAAATGTCTAGTTCCAAAACTGTGACATGATATTTGAAATGCGTCTTCCTGTGCCGAGTTGTTCATTGTGTGCCGTGTCGAGAAGCTCGTCAATGTACTTTTATACCGGAAATTTAGAGATGTATGTAGTTCGCTTGCTCCCACAAGTGCCAAACCTTGTAAAGTTGACAATCATCTGATGCCCATGCAGCCTTGCATTTCTTATTGAAACCCACCAATAGTATGCGGTTTTTAGATAAATATTTGATAAATACATGTGCGTGTTATTTGTAAACTAGTATATTCTATTTTCTGTGTTGGTGCAATGTACTCAGGTGAATAAGTAGCCTGCATGGCAGGCGGTACGTAGGAAATACCGCCTGCCGCAAAACTGGGTGTAAATGAACTACCGCCCCTGAAGCATCAACGCTATTTATAGATGTCATTAATTAAGTAAATATTCAAAATTAGCCACTCCCAAGCTGCTCCCAAGTCCCAACTGCCCAACATAAAATAAATTCCTTGATTCTCATCACCGCCCGACTGAATTTTAAAATCCTCGTTTGAAACGTTTTATTTTTCGTTATACAATATAAATGTACCGGCCGACAAAATAATTCAAGACAGTTAATTTTTTCATATTTTATATAGAGTTTTTATTGCCATTTTAAACTTCCAATTTGAAACAAACAGAATTTTGAGTGAAATTTCATTGTATTTTAAAGAAACTCAGTCATTCTATCATTGTTTGTGGAGATAC